TTTTTTGGAAGTAAGGGTTTCACGCGAAAATGGAGAATAAATGAATCATAAATGTTCCCACCTGAAAAAAAATCTCGATAATTTCACGTACTATTCCTCATCATCGAGATAATTAAACGATCAAGTAGAAGGACATGAGTTCGGGAAATTCGTACAGATTACTTTATCAATATCTCGGAAACTAGTAGGAGTATCAAAGAATGTCAGAAAACCTTTTTTTATGAGAAAAATCCCCCAAAAGAAGTTTTCTCTAGTTGAATGAAAAAGCGTTCGTAGCGTAGGTAGCGTTGAGACTTCAAAATTTGAATGAAACACGTTTTTTTGGTAATTTTGAACTAGCGATTAATACTGGTTTGAGAACTTGTTTATTTTTCTCCCAATGTATGAGTTGTTATTGCGATAATTGGAGAATTAGCTCTACTGCAAGATTGCAGTACGAGGAAAGCTGAAAAAATGTCTTACAGATTATTTGGTAGATATATCGAACACCGTTTTATAACAAAAATGTTACGAGATATTTTTTGTAGATGAAGAAGTATCTTCATAAAACTCCACGAAAAATGCAAAGAGCATTTTTTTAGAAAATTGAAATTTCATGAACAATGGTAGTAATTTTCGCAAGAGTGGCATTGCCCTCGATTTAGGGGGAAAGTCATTATTAAATTTCAAATCTTCAGTCGAATTCAAGGGAATTGATAAGTTATTACAAGAAATCGGACGAAGATTTCACAACTTTTGAAAATTTTTAATTGAAAGTCAATATTCTGATCCAACATACCTTGAATTATCCATTTTAACCTGAATTTTCTCGAATTTTCGGGGGATAATTCAGTAGCAAAGCGGTACACCGGCTTAAGTCGATTTAGACTATTGGCCAGTTTTTAGTGAATATCTCGAAACGTAAGGGAGGTAGCAAATTTTTTGTAATCACCTTTTTTGTAGAGCGAATTGAGAGCTATAAAAAAGGTTTGTTTGAGATTGATGCTAAAAATTTAGGCGGGTTGGGGAAAAGTGATTTGAAAAATGTGTGAAAATTAAGAACACGCGATTTACTACAAACCCACTGATGATGTACTTTATTCGTAGTGTAAACAACGCGTCTAGAAATTTTATATGGGTACACTGTTCGTTGAATTGTCTCAATTTAAATTCGATAATTGTCTCTACACTGCACTTGATAATTCTCTTGATAATTCACTTGATTATAGTCTCAAAATGATTGATAATTGACTCGAAATTAATAGATGATTGACTCGAATAGAGACGCTACTAGGAGCGTCAACTCAGTATCCCACGGTGATGTACTCGGTGATGTACTCGATAGAGCGATTGCGACAATACTGACTGTACAGAGATTGAGACGATACGATACTGAACTCGATGGGTGATTTACTTCGTGATCTGACCGTGAATTCGAATTGACCCGAAATTTTCACCTTTTTCCGATTCAGTGATAGAATCAGAATGATTGAATAATCCAGAATACCCATAATATCCCGAATAAACCGATTGACAACATCATAAATCTCGTGCCCTCATTAACAATTCACCGTTGACAAGCAAAAAAATTAATTCTGGATTATGTAAAATTTTAATTGAAGTAATTATGAATCTATTGAATGTGTCAGCTACTCTTATCCCAGAAAAACAACCGACCAAAAAAATGTCCTGCATCCCTCAGCACGATGACACAGTGTTAACCCATGTATTCATACATTCACGTGCGTTAATTATTCCAGGTTATTCTCTCCTTATGTGTATTGTGTCGTGTACGTGTACGTGTGTGTTTGTGTACAGCGCAACGTGCTTCTCCCTGTATCATAAACTTCGTACATTATTGCTTTTCCGATAGCCACGTCACACTCGCCACTGCCTCACGGTCGTAAGTCTCTCTGGCTCCAGCCGAGTAGATTAGATATATACTCAAACACATACTCAACTGAGTCTGACTGATTTCAGCCCTCCTCCACTGAACCGCAGAATTGAAATTCAATCTTATCCATAAATTTTTACATTTTTCATCTCGTGGGATTATAGACCCTCGTTATTAGAGTTCAACTTCATGAATTTTTGTTTATGATAAAAATCATCATTCTATCATTTTTTAAAGCTCAATATTGATAACAAGTGTGCAGCAGTCACGGGTATTTTCATCATTTTAATGAGAAAAAAAATTACTCGAATGAAAAAGCATTTGCAACGTAAGTGATTGCATTCGTAAATGTTTTATGAGTCATTTAAAAATCATTGCTGTGAATATTACAAGGGACTGAGGAGGTAATTCACTGAATGAGGAATTTACATTCATTTTACTTTTGAAAGGATAATAGAATTTTCAAGGGCTTCAAATTATAAAGTAATGATGTTGAAGAACGAGACTAACACGATCCATCGTATTCTCTAAACATCTCAAGAACTAGTGGATTTAGGAGAATTGAAGAGAAGAGTTTTTTAGAATTCAGGAAAACCCAAAATCCTCTGAAATATTCACAGAGTAATTCATTATCATTCAATTTTCTCTTCTCAATTTTTTAAATATTCACTGCAATTTAAATCACCTTCAAAAGCTTTTTTAAGTTGCTGTAATTTTTTTCCTCGCTATTTTGTGAATGCAGAGAAGTGGTGAAAGTAGACGAATCAACGAATTTGATACATATTAATTTGCAAATATTTCTGGGCACGTCAAAAGCCTTTCTCTGTAGGTTAGAAATTTTACAGAAAAAAATTTAGGGACATTTCCTTCAAAAATCTATAATTTCCGAGACGATAAAATTTTATAATTTTATAATATTTTTTTAATATTCTACTCTTCTTTACTCCTATCTCAATTAGGAAACGTATTACAAAAAATTATCAGAAGACATTTTTTATAAAAAATAATCTGAAGACTCAGATTAATTTGAGTTTCCTCTTCCACCACTTCACTACAAAAATTATTATTCTTTCGTTCGCTCTATATCTTACTCACATACATAATATATAATAATTAATCTCGTGTATAATACAACTAATATCATTATATTCTTCATATACACCCTTTTGACAACCTCAAAAAGTCATCAGTGCTTCGAGTAAACGAATTTATCACACAATCTCACGTGTCCCAAGAGCATCACATTCAACATAATTATACAAAATGATATATCCCTCGTATTAATCGTGGTATAAACAGTGGTGGAAGCGATCGTTATACGTTCATCGTACTTCCACACTCTTAATAATTCTCCATTAATTCGACCTCACCTTTTCAAATGATCCTAGAGTCTAGTGTAGCTGTTCATGAAATAATGCTCACCCCCTCTCATAAATGATCACCAATGCCATAAATCTTGCATTCATCCAGTGACCCCACTCGTCGAGTTTCGCACGTTCCTGGAGCCATCGTAATTCACCTCTCGATGTGGATTATTCGGATAAAAAAAAACGTTGGGCATAAAACTGAAGGAAATAAAATATAAAAAAACATTCAAAAATCAACGACAGTCCGCACGGATTTTTCATTTCAAGCGGGCACGTACCGATACTCTCGGGAAATCCCATCGCATTACTCATCCCAGTGAACCAACCGAATCGATGCCACCCGTGGCTGAGATTTACTGCTTCGTGGAGTGTAGAACTTTTGGAATTAGTAGTAAAAGAACATATTTGAGTCAATTGAAATTGTGAAAGGAGTTTTTTTCTGTCTCGAGGAGAGGGGGAAAATAATTCGTGTGGAAATTTTGGTCAGGTCCATATCGAGATCAAAAAGTTATATAACTGCACGGAAAAAAATATTTGGTGAATTTCCACACTAGTTGATGAAATTTAAGAACTAGTTAATCAATTTCTAATTCTTAATAACGAAATTACGTGAAATTTCAATGAGAAAAAAATTCCGACAAAAATCCTTGCAATTGTAATTCATGAAATTTGCTCCACATAAGTCTTTTGATGATTTATGTCAGCACCAATAATTAATTGAATAATTGGACGATTAACTCTGTGATAAAAATAAATGCAAACAAATTTTTTGTGGCTCAGTGAAAATATTGATTTATTCAGACCATAATTTTTTTTTCGTAACAAGTGAAAGCAAGTATTCGGTTTATATACGTGGCTTCAAGGGATATTCATCGCGAGTGAAAAGTTCGGAGGGAAAAGTTTTAAAGATACCACGACTGATAAGCTCAGGGTTCAGAAAAAAAAATCAACTCTCTTTTGTGGGTTTTGAGGGGAGTTAGTGATAACGAATGCCAGTGATCCTCGGTGCGAAACAACACTGATAAGAGAAACAGGGCTGGGGTAAACATTCGGAGGCATGGAAGTCATTTGGGTAACGACGATTGTAGATTATACTAAAAGAATACTTCGAGAGGCGGATGGTCTCAGTTTTTTTATAAAAATAAATTATGATAAATCTAGCACATCCAGTAGTTTGTTTTAGAGCTCTTGAGAGATAAAATCCAATTGCGATGATGAGTTAAGGGGAACTGAACAGAACCTGGTGATTCGTCACATTTCTATAGAAAATTCAAAACAAGAAGGGATACAAGATTATTTGTTTTGATGTTTGAATGACAATGCATGGTCTGATAAATATGAAAATTATGGCACTGGAATGCTAGAAAAATTTCTGACAAAACACTTCACTCAGAAGACAAGTTTTTTGAGAAGTAAATCTTTACTTGTATCAAGAAATTTATGGCTCGAAAATTACCAAGCGCTCAATATCTCACACTAAAAAAAAATCTTACGCCAAGAAATTTTATACTTGTCCGAAAGATGAGGGCAATTGGCTCATATAAAGAAAATGAGTTCTCAAATCAATTCAAGTAGTTTTTGCATTAAAATATTTTAGAACTGAGGCTAAAAACTTTGAAATGAATTAATTAAATTTTACATGGTATGAGAAATCGCTTTCTTGGCATCAAGAAATTGTCCTAGTCTTTAGGACAAGTACAAAATTTCTTGAAGAAAGTGTTTTGTTCTTAGTGCAAGATATTTTGCTCTTGAAAATTTTGAAGTCACAACTTGGTTGACGTCAGTAAAGACGTACTTCTCAAAAAATTTTGTTTTTCTCAGTGTACATTCGAAATTGCTTTCATCTACAAAAGAGATTTTTGAGCAACAAAGTTTTGCATGAATATCTCTTCAACTATTGGGAAAAATAGATAAATTTTTTTCATGAAAATGAGTCACTTGAGAGATGAAATTCAGTGCTGATAATGAGTTAGGCCGAAAAAAAAACAATAAGGAATATAAGATTATTTGCTTCGATGAATATGAAATTTGTGGCACTGGAATGCCAGAAAAATTTCTGATAAACACATTAGCTTCGACCGGGGTTTTATCTACAAATGAGATTTTTAAACGACAAAGTATTACATGAATATCTCCGCAACTATTGGAAGAAAATAGATAACAATTGGTTTTTTTTTCAAATTTTTTTTATAAAAATAAATTTAGGGAGTCTGATACATTTAGTGGGCCATTTTGAGACTCTTGAGAGATAAAATCCAGTTGTGACGATAAATTATGCGAAACTGAACGAAACTCAATGATGAGTCACATTGCTATAGAAAAATGAAAACAATGGGATGCGTAAGTTTATTTGCTTTGATGTTTGGACGGCAATAAATGATTCAGTGAATATGAAAATTACGGAATACCAACAAAATTCCTGACGAAAATGACCGGGTTGAAGCCTATTGTACGCAAAAAACAAGATTATAAACTGACAAAGTTGGGCATGAATATTTCCGCAACTATTGGGAGAAAATAGATGACGATTGTTTTTCTAATTTTTTTCATCAAAATAAATTTAGGAATTCTGATATATTGGGTCATTGGGTCATTTCGAGAATCTCGAGCGATGAAATTTAGTTGTAATGATGAATTGTGCGAAACTGAATGGAGCTTAATGATTAGTCACATTTTTGTAGGAAAAAGAAAACGAGATGTATAAGTTAGTTTGCTTTGATGTTTGAATGCCAATGGATGGTCTCCTGAATATGAAAATTGTGGCACTAGATAGCCAGAGAAAATTTCGACGAAAAACACTGCTGCTCGGCCTACTTTCCTCGAGTACTTTTTGCCGTACTCGGAAAACAAGTTTTTTAGGTGAAAAAGTTTTTCACGAATAAGTTCTCTTACAACTACCGGAGTGGAGTAGACGCCAATTGTCGATGATACTAAAAGAAGCAGATGCGCTGGCTTTTCTAGAAATGAAAACGATTTTAGGAAATTCGAGATTTCTGGTGGGTCATTTCAAGAATTTTGAGGGATAAAACTCCGTGGTGATGACAAATTGTGATGCCAAATTAACATTTCTATAAACAAAAATGAAAGTGGAGGCTGGAGCAAGGTGGTTTCGATTTGTCTAAATAGGCAGGAAAATTCCTGACAAAAAACACTGTGTGGAGCCTATTGAAGGGAAGGTTCACTCCGGGGAAAATACTGTTTCGTTTTTCGGAAAAAAATAAAAAAATAGATTTTTCCGCGGGATTTTTCCTCAGTAATCCAACTTTTTCAAGTCAAATTTGTCTCCGACCGCTAAAAATTAGAGATTGAGTTTTTTTAATCGAAAAATCAACTTTAAAAAATCTCCAACTTGGAATTTTTTTAATGGTATTTTGAATATAATTACAAATTTTTTGCGTCATTTCTGTTAATGATTATGCAACTTTCCTACGTCATATTTAAAAAAAACGATTCTAATCAAAAATGGATAAATGAAAAAAAAAAAATTTTCTTTCGCTTCATTCAAATAATTGTTTGAATCCATAGTGTTTTATGATTTGATCATTTTCGTCGCCGAAGCCTCCACTAAGGAAAACGCCAACCAGTCACAATAAAAAATATAAGAAACAAGGAACGAGCACAAGGAACAGGACGAAGGAATAAAGTACCGAGGCAATGTGAAATAGCTGACTGGCGTTCGGAAATTTCGCGAGTCTAGCAGTTAGCACTTCTAGGAGCATTAAAACGCAACTTGAAGTCAGCTGTTTCTCTTTATCAAGTCCATGGTTGCTAATCGCCATCTATCGGGCCTCAATCATCCGTCAGGGAATCCCGGCGGAGGTGATCAAAGTCGCAGGGTCACGTGTAGTGACCCTTGTTTGGGCTAAGGCATATCCCAAAACAATAGCACCCAAAAGTTAGTCCCTATGTATTTTCGGAAACAATTCTAAATTGCTTAGTTTATTGAATTCTCATAAGTTATTGAGTTTTTTTATCCTCATATGTTGTTGGTGGAGACAACAATAGCTGTTTGAATCAAATGATAAATGATTTCTCAAAATTTTTTAGAGTTGAATATTGAAGAAACTATGTACTATAAATTTTACAAATAATCACCCTATTCGGAATTTATCAATCTACCACGGATTCGTATATTAAGAACATCGTAATATAAGAACCATTTTCACATAGATGGAAAAATCGAGTTCGGGGGGCCCCATTAACGCCCATTTAACCTATGCCTCGCGTACTAAAAGCCGCATTTCATTATTTATTATCTCCTATAGTGTATAGGATAACTAGCTAGCATTTTTTTCAATAGCTTGGGAATATCTATGAAAAACATGGAGACAATCGTAAAAAAACGTGTTTTCTAGGGATATACCTTAACCTATTCCACGACCAAACGGTTTCCCACTTTTCGCCATTTCGTAGTAGCGTGCGTGAGTTTCCGTGTTTCCCTTATAACGCACTACCATGCTGGCGGCTCCCCACTTCTATCACGCGTAGACGATCGTAGACGTTGGTCGTTCCATGCAGTAAAGAGATATTTAAAATTAAAATAAAAAATGGTCCAAGTCGATTTTTACTATTAGACAGTTTTCAATGAAAATCTCGAAACCGAAGAGAGATAGAAAAATGGTTGTCATTACCTATTTTGTAGCTTCCAATTTGGTCTATAAGAAAGGTGATTACGAAGATTTTATGATCTCCTTTAGATTCGGAGATTCGAAAACTCAAGTAACGGCTAAATCGACTGAAACCATTTTACCGCTTCACTACTGAAATGAATTTTGGAAATTTGATATCTCTACGGGCTCTCTTCAAAATTCTTGAGAAATAAAATTCAGTTGTGATGACGAATTGTGCGGAAACGAACGAAACTCGACGATTAGTCACATTTCTGTAAAAAATGAAAGCAAAGAGAAACGCGAGTTTATTTCGCTTTGATGTTTGAATGAAAAGGGGTGGTCTGATGAGCATGAAAATGGTAGTGTTGAACAGACCGGAGAATTTTTGACAATAAATACGGGTGTTGAGCCGGTCTTTTTCCAATTGTTCCTGACATACTTCAAAAACAATTTTTTCAAATGAGAAAGTCTCTCGCGAATCCCTGGAACTATTGGAGTGAAAACGCCTCAAAGCGTATTTTCAATCGTAAATTTCACCGACAATCTGATACCACTATTTTCATCAGCCCCAGAAATGATGAGTTCTATTCCACGAGAACAAATTCTCCGCATTCCACTCAGCAATTCACTCTACAATTTTTCTCATACATATTTGAATATCTCCTAAATATTGAATTTTATACACATTTTCTAACATCGCTCCTCAAGCATAATACAGGCATGTGAATGCACTCTTATTTTCGTCTCACCTCTCATGTTATAAATATCATTCTTTAAACATCTGTCCAGATTTTAGTCGTTTTATTGAGACTCACGTACCCTGTCACGATGTAGGAGCATCAAGTACACCAGGATTGAGACCAATTCGACTGGATACTGTGATTAACAGGATCGAAACGAGGATTACCAGAGTGAGACAGGATGTGGTCACACGTCCCTCACTGCTCTGTGGTAATTTCACCTCGACTTCGGCCATTTTGAAGATTGAGAGGAGCGGATGTGTGTGAACCTCCTGATATTTATTGTTGATTTTGTTGCTTAGGTCCTGCAGCATTCCTCCGCATTCCTCCTGAAAATGAGTAAGCGAGGGAGTTATATACCGTCAAAGTAGGAGTACCCGAACGACCACGAGTACCCGTACTACTAGTTATGACTTATTTCTAAAATCTTATGCATTTTTCCTCCCTTTTTTACTCTTAATTAAATTATGGTAGAAACAGAAAACTATAATCTGTTCGACCCAAGCTCAATTTTTCAGATTTAAAATAGGAATCTTTTTATAATTTGAATTTTGTGACGGACTGTACTGACACGATATCTTTAGGCGCTATCTCCTAACCGAGTTCGTTCGAGACGCTGTTTGGTGTAGCGTGTATCAAACGGAAAATGTAGGCAACAACTAAATAAAATCATTATTGACGATGAAGAAAACTGTTAATTAAGTGATTGAAATCCAAAAATAGGGAAAGAAACTCGCGAAATCGTAGAAAAATTGGTCTTTGTGTACTGATGCATTGAAGAATCGAACGTCGTTATACTCGAACGATCTACTTAACTTCACATGTCAAACAAATTTTTCCGCAACTTATCCTTTTCTTCATCAAAATATTCTTCCGAGGATTAAATTGATTGTTTAATGATTGATCTATCACAGGGGAAAATTTAAAAAGAGAACCGAGCAAAATTACAGTGCAGGGAGTTGCACTGGCAGCTCTGAAAACTGGGCAAAACGTAAAAGCAATGAGCAGATTCCACCAAATACGAAAGACGACCCTTTATGAGAAAAATATAACAATTGTATATATAACTAATTGAATAAAGACTTTAATTAACTCGACACGTTAGAAGAATGATTTAACGTGGTATACGAGCACAAGAAACTCCGCCGTTCGGGTTTAGGGGGTTCGGGTCATTCCGATACTGATTCAAGAGCCATTTGACCATTCGAATATTGATGTTTCGATCGACTGGTCAACTTTTTTTCCTATTATTCATAGGTGCATGAATTTTATATCAAATTGTTTTTTTTATGCGAATAATATTGAGGTTTACCAAGAATTAACTTTTTTGGCGATTCTACATCTGAATAGTGAGAACAGCGCATTTTATTAGTGGAAAATTATCGATTTATTTATGAAGTGAGCTCCAAAAATAGGATTAATTGGATATCCAGTCATTCAAATCGTTCACACAGGAAGCTTGAATTCAGGGCTTCCAACCAAGCTTGGCCCCACATTTGTACATAGGCAAATCCAACCGTGATATAGTCGGGGTTTTGGAGAGAGAATACGGCTTTGTCTGTGCAGTGAAACCATAATCAAATAAAGTTGATTACCTGCACAACTTGTGTATGAACCGGGCAATACTCCTGAGCTACAGTTAAGCTCACGCAGACTATTTGCGACTTTTATTTTACTTTGTTTTCTTTTATTAAATTAAAATTCAAGATGGTAGTCAGTTTCAGTTTTCGATTGTTTAATGGAGCTTTTTTTAATACGATATTTTTGCAATTGATTTATTTAAACGATGAATAAATTCTTTGTTGGAATGCTTATATGAGATATGAATTTAATACTCCGTTGCGACGGAACAAACTTGCATATAAATAAGTTATTTCTGACACAAATCACGCATATGTTGTCGAAAGTAAATAGAAACAAAAAGAAGTGGGAAACCAAGCGTGAATGATGCTCCCATCTGGGGAGGAATTGGGTTTGAAATAGACAGGTGGTTTTAAATGAGAGACCAACTTTACCGTTCACAAAATCGTTATTCTTAGAATGATAATTGCATCAATTTTCCAGGGTTATTTCAGAATGGAGGAATTCCGTCATTCAAGAACCATACTAGGATCTTGTTAATGGAAGAACCAGAAGTTCATGATCGACAAGCGAGGGCTTTCTTAAAATATAGGAAAACGTGGTTTAATTCGAGCACAAGTCAATAGAAATTAGAGCTAAAAGTACTGGATAATAAATACTGTTATAATCGGATTTTGGAGAAAATTTTCCGAAAATGTGCACAAACTCTCAGAAATTATCGATTGTTGGCCGATAACTTTGTAGAATAGCAAAAGAAAACTGTCAAATTTTTCAACAAAATTTGGCACGATCCTTTTTCTTGCACAACAATTTGAGGAAATTCATCGATAATTTTGGACTTTGAGAAGTATTTGTTGGATAATTTCTGGCCATCCGATTGTGGCCATTTAGAGCGTAGTATTTTATGCTGTGAAGTACATCCAAATCAAAATTTCACTGAATATTTCTTCACAGCTTTTCATTATTTCCCATGACTATTTCCTTCCAGCTTTGCAATTTTTTTAACTAAATAACTGTCAAATACACTGTTAAAAATTTTCGTCTGAATTTTTCGTGCCAAATTCCGGAAATTTTTATCGCGTTCAAATTCCTCTGAAATTTCAGGGAATTTTGTTGCTGAAAAATAAAATATTTCATTGATTTTTTGTTCGAATGATCTGAAAATCAATAAAATACTTGATTTTTCGGTGCAATTATTCCATGATAATTCGGAAAAATCAGGAAAATCTAGGGAAAAGTTCACAATTCATGGTATTTCGTTTCTGAATATTCATGTTCCACTGAAAATTTAATAAAGTTGTGGAATTTTCATCTCACGATAACTGAAAACTCATGAATTTCCTTGAAATCTACCTAAAACTTGAAATTTCGTAATCATATTCCCCCTAAATCGGATTCAATGTCACTCTCATGAGACTATTATATTTTCCATGAAGTTTCGAAAAATATCTAACAGTGTAGTAAAATTGCCCTCTGCTTGGCCAGAATCCGATGGTTAGAAATTATCCTTCGAATCCCACTCGACTTCGAAAATTGATTGGATATTTCCCTGAATCTTCCCTGCAAAGAAACGAGTGTATCAAGTTTTTAAAATTCCGCGTGCGCAGCAGGAGAATGAATGCAGTATTTTAACAAGAGAAAAATATTCAAAGAAAATTAGGACTTGGAGAGAAAAAAATCCCACAGCGCCCATTCGAAACAAAGACCATCAATAACTATTGTGTTTGGATGTAACACCAAAATCAGTCTGGAATTTTTTACAGTGTTGATTGTAATAAATTCACATAAGTTATTCGGAAAACATGCATTCTCATTACAAGAATGGTCACTTCTCTTAATCTTTTAAAATTTCTCGCCATCTAATGAAGGAAAATATTGTGGCAAGAATGGACTTGATTCTGGAAATCGTTTTTTTTCTTTCAGTGAACAACATCCCAAAAAAGTCATGTTTGGCGGGTGACATCATCTCAAACAATTGCAACATAACATCGGTGAATGAAAAGTGTCCGCAATGAACCACAGTGTTATTTTCCTTCCCAGCCTGTCCCCAAAAAACGAATAAAACCCAAAATGACCAAACTAATTGTTTCAACTCAATTAAAATTTTTTCATTTGTCAAAACGCAGTTGTTTCCAATTTTCCCCAGTTATGAGTTGTGTTTCAGCAAATTGGAGTGACCTTGTAAATACAGAGGAATTGAAATCCGTCCAATTTACGTTGGCCCGCGGGGGCTTAACGTTGCCGGACGTCACTGGTCAACTGACGCTCTCTCAAATCGATTTCCATTATTACCTCTCTTCCATGCACCATCACTCTCTTTTCCTACTCCTACCTCTTCCTCACACTCCATCCCTTGTTTCTCTTAATCTGCTACCCTGAATTACCAACGGCTCGTTGAATCTTTAATTTCCGGGAGGAATACCCGGTTGAGAGGGAAAAAAAAACCAACCCTATGATTTTTTCACTGAATTTTTCCCCCTCATTTCCACCATTTTCCTCTCTCAACTGCGTTTTTATTATATATTTGAGCCAGCCAATTTTTTTAACCCCCACTCCAAAGGTTTAAATTTTAGAGTTCCGGTGGAGCTCGACGAATTCTCACTATGAAATAATGAAATCGACGAGTGCGTTCATCCGAACGCGCTCCATTGTTCCCAGTCCGGGCTCTCCTCTCCATTTCTGTTTTATTAATTCAATTTTTTTTTCGAGCTTCTGGCAATGACTCACTTGATCGAGACTCCATCGGGCCCATTATTTCACCGACCATCCCTGGAGATTAATTTAAGTACGAATGAAATATTAAAAAAGGATTATTCAACTTTTAATACGACTTTTGTTAAGTTTATGGAAGATGTAATTTTTAAGTTACGTATTTCGCTAATATCTTCAGAGCTATTAGGTTGAGAGCGAAATGCGCTACAAAAGAGTTCGTTTCCATTTTGTCTGAACCCTTGAGTTTTAGAGAGATTCACAAAATAATCTGAAAAGTCCCTTTAGACCTCATTCATTATTTCACATAGACTATTTTTGGCGGCTATCTCTGAGGCCACTCAGTTTATTAAAGTAGTATGAATAAACTCCAGTAGAGTCGTTGAAAGGAATAAAAATACTTTTTCGTGAGAAGACCCGGTAAACCGTGATTCTAACCTCGCTTCGCTCGGTTTGATCGCGGTTTACGGGCCTTCTGACGAAAAATTGCATTCATCACACGGTCCAAAAGTATTTTCTGACGAATGTGATTATAGGCCAAATGTGATTACAAAGCCACATTCGTCAGAAAATACTTTGTGGACCTTGTGATGAAAATAACTATTTTGTCATTCATGCTCGTTAAGTGGCGTTTTCGTGGTGTGTTTTAGAACCCGTAACTGGGATTTACCAGGCCATGGGCCGGTAGGTAAAAACTAGCCCCGATTTCACGATTTAACGGGCCATTGCCTGTTAAGTAAGACGTGAAGTGAGTCCCTCTTACACTATAGCTCGTGCGGCTGAACTATAGTTTGCCACCAAAACCCAAAATTCACGAGGAAAATCGTAACAAATTCCGTTAAACAAAAGAGTGAAATAAATTTCATTATACCCGATAGTGACGAAGAGGAGTCACAAGACATTTTTAGTGAAGTGAATAATACCAGTGACGACGCAGCAAGTACGTCAGCACAAATAGTTGAATTTTACCTTGTGACACATTCTACTTCATTTTTTCATTCTAGATCGGTCCGTTAATTTAGAATTTATAATTTATCAT